ATTCCAGCAACTATTTTTGCCAGCAATCCTATAAAATAGTAATAGGTGAAATCCCTTGGGCTGTGTTCAAAATTGGGCTCAGCTAGCTGAGCTAGTTTCCTTAAAAGTTAGAAGGGAAACTTGGTTATTTTGAGATGCTATGGAAGCACATCAGGATCCAGAGCACTCCCACAATCCCCTCCAGTTTCTCTGCCTTGCTGCTGTGGCTATTGTGGCTGTTGTGGTGTCTCCCTCTCACCAGGCTTCAGATGAGGTTGCCATGGCAGAGATGGCAGGTAGGTAGCTCCTTCCTTCCATTCCTGTTACATGTGTTGTTGCTGCTGCAGTAGCAGAGACTTAGGGGTTAGGTACCCTGGGGACATTTCATAGGCCACTGCCTTCTGAGTTGCTGCTATAGTGGCAACTCCTAACTCTCCCATCAGGGAGCAAGGGAGGGGTCTACTTGCCTACACTGCTGCCACCACAGAAACAAGCAATGTTGGTGGGGGGGGTGCATGTTGTGGGTGAGTCAGGGGTGGACTGTCCTGTTTTGTCACGCCTGTGGCAAAACAGGTAAGTGACACCCTCACCGCCCCCACTCCCACAAAGCCTCACAACTGCAGCAGTGGTTCCGTTTTCTAGCAAAATTTTGCAGGGCTCTTGCAAGATCCCACCAGAGCCCAGAATGGTCCACTGCTTCTCCTTGCTTCTCTGGAGGCTCTGCCCCTTGCAGCCAGCGTGGTGTAGTGGTTAAGAACAGTGGACTCGTAATCTGGTGAACCGGGTTCGCTTCCCCGCTCCTCCACATGCAGCTGCTGGGTGACCTTGGGCTAGTCACACTTCTCTGAAGTCTCTCAGCCTCACTCACCTCACAGAGTGTTTGTTGTGGGAGAGGAAGGGAAAGGAGATTGTTAGCCGCTTTGAGACTCCTTAGGGTAGTGATAAAGTGGGATATCAAATCCAAACCCTTCTCCTTCCACCGTCTGAGCCTACCTCATGGGCAGCCTGGGCCTGGGGTGGGTCCAAATGTGAATGAGGAGTGGGTTAAGAGGCCAGAGAAGAGCCTCAGCTCATAAAGCTCATCATGAACTGGAGGCATGCATCTCAAGTCATTGAGATCCATATAGAATCATAGAATCAAAGAGTTGGAAGAGACCACAAGGGCCATCGAGTCCAACCCCCTGCCAAGCAGGAAACACCATCAGAGCACTCCTGACATATGGTTGTCAAGCCTCTGCTTAAAGACCTCCAAAGAAGGAGACTCCACCACACTCCTTGGCAGCAAATTCCACTGTCGAACAGCTCTTACTGTCAGGAAGTTCTTCCTAATATTTAGGTGGAATCTTCTTTCTTGTAGTTTGGATCCATTGCTCCGTGTCCGCTTCTCTGGAGCAGCAGAAAACAACCTTTCTCCCTCCTCTATATGACATCCTTTTATATATATGAACATGGCTATCATATCACCCCTTAACCTCCTCTTCTCCAGGCTAAACATGCCCAGCTCCCTTAGCCGTTCTTCATAAGGCATCGTTTCCAGGCCTTTGACCATTTTGGTTGCCCTCCTCTGGACACGTTCCAGTTTGTCAGTGTCCTTCTTGAACTGTGGTGCCCAGAACTGGACACAGTACTCCAGGTGAGGTCTGACCAGAGCAGAATACAGTGGCACTATTACTTCCCTTGATCTAGATGCTATACTCCTATTGATGCAGCCCAGAATTGCATTGGCTTTTTTAGCTGCTGCGTCACACTGTTGGCTCATGTCAAGTTTGTGGTCAACCAGGACTCCTAGATCCTTTTCACATGTACTGCTCTCAAGCCAGGAGAGCAGGAGAGCATATTACAGCCTTGAGGCATTCCTACCAGAGAGCTGGGTCTGATGATGACCCATGCACACAGCCAGAAGTGCCTCTGATATTTCTCTTGCATCTGCATGCACTTGCTGAATAGGCAAGGCTCTCCTCAGTTTAAAATTTCCCCTGCCCATTCAGCAGTGCAAGAAACTGTAGTAGAAAACCGAAGGAAACCTCCATTTAATAAAAACCCCATTGGATCAGGCCAAAGGGCCAGCCCCCTGTTCTCACAGTGGTCAGCCTGATGCCTCTGAGGAAGCTGGCAAGGAGGACTGCATCTAATTGCATCTGAATATGCACCTTATTTTCTAAGCTTGCAGCCGGTACCCAAACCAAAGTTGATGAGACTGAGCTGGTGGTTCACCCTGTCGTGGGCTCTGTAGAAAAGGCGTCAGCTTGTCTACTCAGCTCATAATGTCTGCTGCTTTAGCCTGCCTTCAGGTTATCCATGGGCTGCCAGTTGGCCATACTTGTTTTAAGTTTGTTCTTATTAACCAGCACACATGTATATTAACTTCATGTATCAACCTAGCTTCTTTAAAGTAATCTTTTTGTAGCAGAATAAAAGGGGAAAGGAGTGATTAACGTGACAGCTTTTCATGCTTTTGAAGGATCATATCAGAAAACATTGCCAAAAGCTATTTTATTCAGAAAGGAAACACCCATTTGCTTGCTGTAAATTATGGGTGGACCAGAAAGAAACAAAAGCTATGAACCCCTCAGGAGGAATACTTTTCAAACAGCATCTTTCCACTCCTCCCACCATAGTAACAGGAACACAAGTCAGGCTGCCAGTGACTAGGAGTGTGCTATATATATTTTTCATGCTTAAAAAATAATTACACTTTCATGCTTAAAAAATAAATAGTATTGTGTTACAGACTGAACAAAGAGTTAAATATAAATTGTGAAGAAGTACAGGATGAGGAAAGAGTGTAAGAACAGACTCGTGCATAATAGAGCAAGAGGATCATATGTTAGTGAGGGAGCAGGTCGGGTGAGATAAGGCAGTGCAGGAAAGGCTTTGCCAAACCTGGGTCTTCTTGCAGACAGGCTAGTTCATACCTGCACATGGCATCAGTTGATTTCTTAAGAATGATGCATGGCATTAGGGAAGCTCCATCTGATATGCTTGTTCACTCACACATACAGCAGATACTGTTGGCATCCATCCGTCTCAAGAGACTATGGGAGAATGTGCCATTGGAGGTCAAGTTAAACCACTGGACAGTTACAGTGCCTGCTGTGGCTGTAGAGACCAGGACATGTTTTATTGCCACTAGGGCAATCCGGTTTACAGAAGCATCATGGCATTTCTTCTCTCTGCAGTCCTCCCAGCAGTCATTTCTCCTCTGAACACTGCTGTGGATACACGACCTGATTGTCTGTCTCCAGGCACTGCGATTGCCTGCAAGGGATTCCCACATGGCAGGGCTAATGATAATGATCATCAGATAATGATCACACATTTATAAACACTGATGATATGATGATGATGTATCAAGGGATCACATGCTTGTGTGAACCAGGCTATTAGGAAAGGGAGGTCTGCTTTGACAAAAAACAGTGTAGTAAGAAGGTAAGAAGGGACATACTGAATCAGACCAAAAACATTTCTACTTCAGCATTCTGTTTCCCACAAGTTTCAGCCCGAGGGTTCAAGTATGAAGGTAGCAGAGGAGGCACTAGGGAAAAAAAATTGGAGAGGGGACAGAATGGGCAAAGTATATTTCTAGGTGGGTATGTTATGTCACACATTTTAAGATCTCTGAAAGAAAAATAACAGTATATGTTAATGGCAGGAATCCAGTGATGTTGGGGGGGAGTTTGGGGGGGGAGTTCCTTATTTGGTTGTTTTTTTGTCCCAAGGCTCCCTCTCCAGTTCTGCCCATGGGAGGCAGATATAAGAAAAGAGTTTAGCCCTGTTCAGTACTTAAACTTATTTCATGTAGTAACGAGTTTGTGCGAGGAAACTGTTGTCTTTCTCCCTATCCCTATTGTAAGTCAGTTGTGGAACATATTATTGCTAATACAGGAAGGTGTGCCAGTGGAAATAAGACAAATTCATTCCGGAGGAAAAGGCTTTCAAAGATCTCAAGTTACGTACAGAATCATAGGACATTGTGCCTCTGAATTCCAGTTGCTGGAGACCCACACTGGGACAGCACACTCAAGTACTAGTGGAAAACAGAATTCTGGACCAGTAGGGCTCTTCTTAGATTCTTACTTCCTTTACTGGGTGGACAACCCTCTCCCCAGTGCAATTAGAGATGTGGGGTTTTTTTAAAAAAAAGGTTTTAGCAATGACCAGATTCTAAGTGGTCAGCTGCCATTGCACCAGATTCATTTGTGCTGTTGGAGCTGGGAAGTTACCTAGCTGCAAGGGGAGATGTTAGAGAACAGAGACAGAACAGTGAGGAACTTTCAAAAGTCAGTACTGGAAGCATCAGATTGATATGGAACATGAAAGGCAGTCAGTAAATATATATGGGAGGAGAGTGATGTAACCACAGATGAAGTTCATCAGAGATGCTCTGAGCCTCTACATCCCTATGAATCAGGAGAGTGTGCGGTGTACACACACCGGTGCAACTTCAGATTTTAAGACGTCAGTTTTGCCATGTGTACCCATCCACACCAGGGTGTTGTTTTTGTCTTTCTTTTCATGCCTTGGGAAATAGGGATCTTGCAAGTTCACGCAATGCCCTCCTGTTCTCAAGTCCCCCCCCCCCGCAATGCTTTCTCTTCCTCCTTCCATCTCTTTAACCTTGTTCTTATGCTACCGCAAGAGTTGGGACAGTAAAGCTTTCAGGCTGCATCCAATCTGCAAATGCTTTTCTTAATACCACACATAACATTTTCCCCTGTGTGAAGGAATAGGACTTTTATCCATTTTGAGCTGGGCTTTGGGTTGTAAAATTTGGGTTGTAAAATGGTTGGCTTTTGCCTTAAAGGCTTCCATGCATGACAGGAGAAAAAGTTCACAGGAAGGTTAAAAATGCAAGGGGATGTTTTGCTCAGGAAGTTTGGTCAAATGTTCATCCCTGGATCTTAGCAATTAAGAGGAAATAGAAAGTTAACAAGGCATCTGCTCTCCTTCTGATTGGTTAAACATTTGGGTGTGTGAAAATACTGTATAAAAATGAAGCAAGAAAATTGGATAGTTAAGTCAGAATGTTGAAAAGCTGGAGCTGGAGCCTGCAATAGAGGAAATGTGTTTAAGAGAGCTAGAAGACTGGAAACGAGGAGGAACCGGGAGAGGACCATGAAAAGACCCAGAAGCTGAACTTAGGGATGCAAACTGCAAACTGTGCTGGGCTTGGGCAAAGAAACAGTCAGGAATAAGTAAGCTGTATGCATTTATATGTGCTTATTTTTCATTTCCTCTTACATGTAACTACTCAAACTGAAAAACTGTCTGTTTTCCTAAAGCAATTTTCTCAAAAACAATTTCACTTGTTGCGCTACTAAAATCATAATTTCTTGGGGGGTTTTTTTTTGGGGGGGGGGTCTAGTGCCTTGTTTTTGACCACACACTTAAGTGCCATTCCATGCCACTCAGTACTGGGAGTATGTTAGGTGAGTTACAGTTAAAGGGGATTTGTGGTGGAGGCAGCCAGAGAAAAACAAATATATTGGTGAAGTTAACAAGATGAGCAGCTTGGCTGATTTACTTGCCCTTCTTTCCTCTCACAGCATAGACTACAGCTTGTGCAGTCCTTTCCTGGTTGCCTGGCACAGGGTGATGGCGCAGGGCTGTAGGAGCTGTAATGAACTTTGATAGGCTGGCTGCAACCTATGACATTACCATTCAGTTCCAACCCACACAAGGCATGAAGAATACTCCTTAGCTCAATGGGAAATGCAGTCTACTGGGGGAATACGCCCCATTTAACACAGTGAGGCCTACTTATGAGTAAGCATGCATAGGACTGTGCTGTAAGTCACAAAGAGCAAAGATTTCCAAAATCTTCCAGACTGAGCCAATAATTAAACCAAGGGAGCATTGCTGTTTAGCAGGAGCAAGAAGACCACATGTTTCTCTTCAGGACATTGTTTTCCACACTGGCTGTGTTGGCGTATATTTTTATTCTCTTGCTGAAGCATGAAGCATGGGCTTAGTTAACTTCTTGCTGCCGTACAAAAATGCTTCAAAATCTTAAATGCATTCCTCCTTATATTATTATTTCCAGAAAGAAAGTTGCTATCCCCAAGTTTCAGAAAGAGAAAGTACTATCTGGAATAAAGGTATGAGGCAAACACAGATGTGTTCACGAAGGTTGTCAAAGGATATTATAAATATATTGCCAGGTATATACAGAGAATTTTATGGCAGCAGGAGATGAGAGAACGGACTAAGCTGAGGTATTTCTTTGGGGTATCTAATGCCAATGCCCTATTTTGCGGAAGGGAACTGCTTTTGACCTTGTTCATTTGCAAAACTAAATTATTTTAATTTTGAAGTTGAATTTTGAATTTGGCTAGAAGATAAAAATCACAAGACATACTTTTTCACAAGTGTTGTGAGAGTATTTCTGAGTAAATATATTTTGTTTTTTATTCATTCTTGTAAGCAAGCTTTGTGAACAAGTACTATTTTGAAGAGTTCAGAAATTAATTATGTGATTGCCATCCTTTGGCATTTGTAATTTCACAATTCAATATTTTTCCCCTAATGTTATGATTCAAGTTCTCTCTCTCATAAGTACTCATTAATAGGGATAGGAAATAAATTTGATCCATTTCACGTTTAAAAAAGAACCTGGCTTTTTTGCACTTTCCAAAGCAATATGTGAGCCAGAACAGCCATCCTTTGACATCTGTAATTTTACAATTCAATATTTCCCTCCTAATGTTATGATTCAAACTGTAAATGGGAAATGTCTAACATAAAATTTAAATTTCCATTTATTGAATTTGTACTACAGATTTCAAATGCTTTGGCAGTTATTTTAGGAATCGCTGCTAGAAAAAGGGCAATTTTAGTTAACTTCTTAAAGGCGCCAATGGACCACTGTTGGAAGGATATTCCACAAGGAAAGTACCACCACAGAAAAGGCTCTGCTTTTCCAGTGGACATGGTTTAGAACAGATTTAGATTCACTGTCAGAATCAGGAAATTAAAACCATACCTGAGTTCATGATAATACTGCTTGGCGTTTCGGAAGGAAAAATCCACCCTCACTCCCTCTCTCCTAATGATATGCAACCCTGTCATGCTTTGCATAGTGCTGCGTACATGGTTTTTAATGATTACAGCAGCCAGGAGGCTTTCCGATTATGTTCACATTGTCAGCTCTACCTTTCCGCTAGTTCTAGGTGAAGTGGTAGTGCAATACCCACAGTTCCACAACCTCCATGCCCGCCGCATAGTCGCTGACAATGTAATACTCGTTCAGCAACTGATTATAATTAAAAATATCAGAATAATTAAAGTCTTCAGTTTGACAAGCAGAGCCATAACTTTGCCTTCAGACATTCCTCTCTAATTAGTTAATTAATCCTAATGCAAATTATAAGCAATAATTAGTCAGCCAAGCTTGACATAAAAGTCTGCTGACTTAACAGCGGAAAACCTTCCTGGTTATTGGGTTGTAAATTTTTACTGTTCCTTTTGTCCAATCATTATGTTCCACAATCTAGTCTGCGGCTAAGCTACCCTGTATACATCTAGGGAAAAGGTAGAGTTCTGCCCTTGCTGTCAGACCAACTGGAACCAGTTAGTTGTGGGAATGGAAGTGTTTCAGGAGTGGATTCAGCACCCATTGCTTTATCTGCAAGCACAGGAAGGCCTCTGTTTCAAGAGAATAATGGATCTTTGCTTGCCCCTTGGACACTGTGGGGAATATGTGGTGGGGATCTAACTTAGCATCCCAAGCTTTATAGTCATGCCAAAGGTCTCCCATCCAACAAGATTGAACCCAAAGGGTGCTCATCAATGGTTCCTCTTCATCCTGGAGAAGAGTGACTAGTGGGGTGCCACAGGGTTCTGTCTTGGGCCCGGTCTTATTCAACATCTTTATCAACGACTTGGATGATGGACTCAAGGGCATCCTGATCAAATTTGCAGATGACACCAAACTGGGAGGGGTGGCAAACACCCCAGAGGACAGGATCACACTTCAAAACGACCTTGACAGTTTAGAGAACTGGGCCAAAACAAACAAGATGAATTTTAACAGGGAGAAATGTAAAGTATTGCACTTGGGCAAAAAAAATGAGAGGCACAAATACAAAATGGGGGACACCTGGCTTGAGAGCAGTACATGTGAAAAGGATCTAGGAGTCTTGGTTGACCACAAACTTGACATGAGCCAACAGTGTGACGCGGCAGCTAAAAAAGCCAATGCAATTCTAGGCTGCATCAATAGGAGTATAGCATCTAGATCAAGGGAAGTAATAGTGCCACTGTATTCTGCTCTGGTCAGACCTCACCTGGAGTACTGTGTCCAGTTCTGGGCACCACAATTCAAGAAGGACACTGACAAACTGGAACGTGTCCAGAGGAGGGCAACCAAAATGATCAAAGGCCTGGAAACGATGCCTTATGAGGAACGGCTAAGGGAGCTGGGCATGTTTAGCCTGGAGAAGAGGAGGTTAAGGGGTGATATGATAGCCATGTTCAAATATATAAAGGGATGTCACATAGAGGAGGGAGAAAGGTTGTTTTCTGCTGCTCCAGAGAAGCGGACACGGAGCAATGGATCCAAACTACAAGTAAGAAGATTCCACCTAAACATTAGGAAGAACTTCCTGACAGTAAGAGCTGTTCGACAGTGGAATTTGCTGCCAAGGAGTGTGGTGGAGTCTCCTACTTTGGAGGTCTTTAAGCAGAGGCTTGACAACCATATGTCAGGAGTGCTCTGATGGTGTTTCCTGCTTGGCAGGGGGTTGGACTCGATGGCCCTTGTGGTCTCTTCCAACTCTATGATTCTATGATTCTATGATTCTAAGAGAGATATATTTTTAAACCTCCATCTCACTGGATTGAAGACCTTCCTTCAAGCTTCGCATCACAAGACTAAAGGTCTATGACAGGGCTGTCCAAAACACAGTCTTTGGCAACATTTAACCCCACCACCACCACCTGCACTGAGGCACTAGGCTCTGACAGAATCCTAGAGTCCCCCCACCTCCTTCCCAACACCTAGTTAGCACTTTCCCAGCCTCAAACCTCCTTCCCAAAGCCCAGTGCCATCCATCAAGGCCAGCTCAGTGCCTAAACTGAGACTGCCCTGAGGCCAGACATGGATGAGTCAAGATAATCAGTTTCATCTAAGATGTCAAGCATGCCCAGGCAGAGGTGCCTACTTGAATAAAATAGGGGGCAGGTAAGCCCCGTGCCCACATAATGAATCACATGGTACAACACATACACACCATTTGAATGGCAATGCTCATCAATGGGGGGGGGGCTGGCACCTCAAATATTTTATTGGGGAGTTTGAAGGGACCTCCACCCCTAGGTGTTGGCTTCTATGCACCCAGGCCATCCACAGGTCAGGAAAGCATGGGAGGTACTGAATGCAATTAGCTCCTTATTAACAGAAAATAACTACAGTAGAGCCTTCTGGCTTGTCTTAATCCAGCTGAGATGTTGCTGAAACTGAGCACCTCTAGCCTTTCACTCAGGATCCCTCCCAAGCAGACGAAGGCTACACTGAGGGAGGGAGCTCCTCCTCTGGGCCTGTCTGTTGATCGGGGTGCCAGAGGGGGAGGAGGGCCAGCAGGACTGCTCTTCAGTGTCCCACCACCAGGATCTAAGTTGTCTTCTTCTGTGCGAGGGCCTTGGGGGCTCTTGCTCAGGCAACTCCCACCACTCTTCCTCATCCAGCCAGTCCCTGACACAAGAGCATCCTCAAAGTGTTTTATTCCTCAAGGTGTCTTACTAAATTTTGTCCTCACAGTGTCCTACAAAATCATTATACAGATATCCCACCAAGTAACGCCCACACCCATTTTGTTTACCATCTAGCCTGATGAAGAATTCAGGAGATTTCAGCAGCCTGCACACTATTTTGTGACATTTTAGTTGCCCTGATAATGGATTTTGGAATCTTACTTGAAGGCGGTATACATTGATTTTCCAAAGGTCTTTCAGTAGCTGAGAATAATTACCATTTGGAGCACAAACGACAAAAATATGTACTTAGACACCCTATTGAGTTCACTAAAACTCAAACATGTCTCTGTAGAGCATGAGTTTTCATGTCCAGTCCAAATTTTAAGCACCTTAAAAAAAATCTAAGTGCTTTGCAAAAATTAAAATATTTTATATGCCCTGCTTGTAGGCTTACCAGTTTAGCAATATCTAATAATATCACCTGGATTGTGCCGATGTGAAGATAAGGGTGATAAGGTAATTTAAAAATGACTAAAACCAGAGTTTTTTCACTCTCTTTTTCCCATGCGCAAGCGAATGAATGGGAGTTAGTATGTCATTTCAAGGGGAGAATAGAATTAAGCATTTTGGAATGCCGAACCCAAGAGGGATAGTTAATCCCATTCGTGACAATAGCAAATGTAATACGTACAAATAATGGAAAGCATTATTCATGCTTTTCCTCATTTCACATACAGCACAATATGTTATTTTCTAGCTTCTAATTCATGTCTTCATTAAGGGAAAAACTACTCAGGAAGCCCAATCCGATTGCCTCACTGTGCCAGGCACCCAGTATACCAGAACAAGAGAGCCATGTTGCTGTGCATCCCAAACAGCAAAAACAACAGCACAACAGAAAGAATATGTAGCAACATTGGCAGCCATTCCCACAACCTCCCAGGTGACTCTGCCAACACTCACTCATCACCAGTGATATGCCCCCACATTACACCCATGCATGAAAGCCACCAATCAACACATGGCAGCAGGAGGAAGGCAATGATGGTGTCACCCGGCCCAGTCTGCAGTCCAATTCTCCTTCACAAAAAGCAAAAGAATACTCTCAGGAAGAGAAGAGCTGTAGTGACCCTATCCAAAGAGTCCCGAAGGAAAGAAGGGAAGCAATGTGGTGGAAGTATCAGGTAGCTTGATGGGAAAGGGCTAGGCAATGAAAATGTGAGATGTGGATTTGAGTCACACCTTGCGGAACTGAAAATGTGACCTCTTGTTGTTGTTGTTTAGTTGTTTAGTCGTGTCCGACTCTTTGTGACCCCATGGACCAGAGCACGCCAGGCACTCATGTCTTCCACTGCCTCCCGCAGTTTGGTCAAACTCATGCTGGTAGCTTTGAGAACACTGTCTAACCATCTCATCCTCTGCCGTCCCCTTTTCCTTGTGCCCTCCATCTTTCCCAACATCAGGGTCTTTTCCAGGGAGTCTTCTCTTCTCATGAGGTGGCCAAAGTATTGGAGCCTCAGCTTCAGGATCTGTCCTTCCAGTGACCACTCAGGGCTGATTTCCTTCAGAATGGATAGGTTTGATCTTCTTGCAGTCCATGGGACTCTCAAGAGTCTCCTCCAGCACCATAATTCAAAAGCATCAATTCTTCGGCCATCAGCCTTGTTTATGGTCCAGCTCTCACTTCCTTATATCACTACTGGGAAAACCATAGCTTTAACTATACGGACCTTTGTTGGCAAGGTGATGTCTCTGCTTTTTAAAATGCTTTGAGGATGAAGCAACAGTAGGATGGGGAAAGGGAAACGTAGGTCTATAACTCTTAGCCTTCCAATCCAGAAAGAAGGGCCCTAACCACACAGTCCATTGAGAAGGATCCCAGGCAGAGTGGTCAGGCAGTGGGGGGAGGGAGGAGAAGAAGTGGGCAGCCTTTGCAGGGTCTGCCACACACACGGGGAAAGCAACAACCAGTAAGCCTGAACTCTCCACTCACTGGCAGGTGAGCACGATGTTCAGTGGGAAGGAGAAGCAGGACCTCCAAGGAAGGAGAGTCCACCACCTTCTAATGAAGACTGTTCCACTGTTGAACAACCTTAAACATTAAGGCTGGACCCTGAACTGATTTTGGGCCTGCATCTCTTGGGTCAGCCCAGATCAGCTCAGGTCAGATTGGGGCCCATCCAAAATTCCAGATTGGACCCTCAATCAGATTGGATGGCTGTGGTTGTAGTCCAACATAATAAATTGGCCAATGATGAAGAAAATGAGCAAAAAAGGCATTTTAGTTCTACAGTGAGAGGAGGTAGAGTTGCCAGAATTTTATTTCACTGGCCATGAGTTCATCCTCATATTCAGATGCCTGTCTTATCTCTTTTCTGTTTTAATTTTTTAATTATTGTCATTGGTTTTAGATTTAATTTTTTAATGTTTTGTACACCACTTTAAAAATAGGTTTTATACACCATTTAAAAAATATTCTGTAGTTTACAAATACTTCAATAAGCGAAGCCCGAACTCCATTCAGTCCCTCCACCGCATACGTTCAGAGGAGCAGAATGAAGTGAATTCTCTAGGCAGACGCTACATTTCCAAGGTGCCACAAGGTCTCATTGATGGCCAGCACATGGAGCAAGAGAGCCCCAAATATCCTGCTCCCTAACACGGCTAGGGGATCCTGGTTTCTCTGCTCTGGCCAACATTTTATATGGAGAAGGGAGCTCTCATGTGTTTCAATAACTGAAATTTTCTGTTAATATAAGTAAGAGCGAAATACTGTTGCAGTTCTTTATGTATATCATTTTCTTCCCACAGAGTATGCATGAAAGAGTCTTTCCTTTGGAATTAGTTTCTGGATTGCAGATGCTTTTCTCATCTTGTGCCATACAGCTGTTACAGCCAGTCTGTCTCTTCTCACCAAGAGGTTGAGACAATGCATGTCAGAACCTCACCCATCACTTGTGCCACAGCTAAAGAGATTGCACTTGACTTTAGCACCTTGAAGGAATGCACGTTGATCTTCCAATGTGTTCTTCTGTTGACTAATAATGGCACTTGCATGTAGCTGTGTACACAATAGCTTCTGACTACAGCCGTAGACTCTGATGATTTGCTTTTAAGCAAGAAAACAATGTTCCCTTTCACTGTAGAGCCTTCCTCTCTGAGCTAATGTTTAATAAAGCACTATTCCTATCTGGCATTCATATTGGCAATGATTAACTTGAAATAAGCGTAAGCTGCATTTAATATTAGCACATGCTTTCACTGACATTTTAAATGTTTTGTGTAAATACTTACTCAGTGGGGAAAATGTAACATGAGAACAAAATGTGATGCTTTAAGGACTGTTGCAGACTTTGTGCAGAATTAAGGCCACCCAATAGTATTATTCTCACACCATCCAGTTGTGAGAAATTGGAATATAGAAACCTCATTGGAGATTTTGAAGCAGAGGTCAGATGGCCACCTGTCATGGATGCTTTAGTTGAGATTCCTGCCTTGCAAGGGGGTTGGACTAGATGACCCTCAGGGTCCCTTCCAACTCTACAGTTCTATGATTCTATGTTCATTACAAATAGGCCTGAGACAAATGATTTTTTTATGTTAGCATTTCCACTTTTTATGCTCCTCAAAGACCTGCTCAGGGCAGAAGCTAATCTGTGGAAGTACACAGAAAACAGGAGAGAAAGAGCTGTTTATTGAAGAGATCTCAAATGATAGTATGAAATCCTTTCACAAGGATATACAGATAGCATTGGTAAATTGGTTCATTTATAGTATTTTAAAATCAAATTACAAAAAGAAACATTTCAACCAGTTAATATATATTATACATCTCAAAAAAAAATTCACGAAAACTGCAAATGCCTCTGTTTTTAATGTATGCATTTCTCTGAAACTCAATTAGGCATTTCATTCAGTCCTGAATGATTTGCAAAATCTCAAAATTGGTCCTTTCTTATAAGTTCTCAGCTGGTTAAAAAGAACCAGGTATAAAACTGCTTAACACATTGTTTCTAAGAAGAAGCATTGACGTGCTATCTCATTGCTTTGCTCTCTCCCCCCCCCCTTTTAATTGACATGTCTGTATTCAAGCATGAGACCACCTGCCCTAGTAAGAGATGGAGAATGTTATGGGCTATTGAGCACTCCTGCAGATTTTCACAGAGGATCAGCAAAACATTATTTAGCACAGGTGTTTCATTATGACGCATTAGGGGAGCAGAGATAGTATTCAATAGCTCTCAAACTTCCACCTGTGTTTTGGACAAATGCTAGCAAACTGGGAAAGCAACGCAAACATTATAAGGAATATATAGTTCAATCCAATAGGAACTTACTTGAAAATCATAAGGTCCACACACAAAGAAAGTAGGAAAAAAATAAGAGGTGATGGTTAGAATCCATAACTGTGTTAATATTACTAGCAATATTCTCAAGAGCACTTTAAACCACTTTATTGGCTGGTTGGTTGACTGGATTACATATTTCGGCCCTTATGGGGCTTGCAAGGTTGTAGTATCACTTTCCTTCATTTGCCTAAATCATGCTCCATTGTAAACGCTTATTCCTATGCAGTAGATGGCTAAGAGTGAGAAGCAGAAATTCTTCTGAGCTTGTCTACATGATACACCATTTATAAATATTATTAAAATGGACTGAGAACAGGGAAATTCATGATCCTCTGGGTTTCCAAATAAACCAATAAACTAGTCTAGACATAAGAGCCAGGACAGAAGGAATGTCATCACAGACCACCCTGCTGACTGCAATGTTTAGGAAAAGTCACTTCTTGGATTGGGATTATGGCACCATGAGTTTCCCTGCTCACAGTCCATATTAATGGTATTCGCCCTTCAGGCTCACACATGCTTGGAATCTGTGCCCTTTGCCCTGTTCTGCTCATGAGTCCATTGTGTGTGATGGGGCTGAATAGGGCAGTGTTGCTCATACTCCACTCACCATCTAAACATAGCCTGCATTTAGTTAGATACCATCTGTTTTAACTAGCGAGGGTATGGAAATTCTTGCATGCCGCTATGTGCATCCTGCTACTGCAATCTGTAATTTGCAGCAAGAGATTTCAAATATTGTGCCACGGCCATTTCACCTCCACCTCCCCGTTTTCTGTTCTAGGAATTCACTCGAAGGACGGCAGCTCAGTAGTACATTTCTGCCACTGCTGTTTGCAGAGTTGCCACATGAAGAGAGACTGGCAACACTGCTTATCTTCCAGCAGCAATGGATCACATCCAGAAATGTACAGTACTCTGCACATGCTCAGGGCTTCTCTCTTGTTTCCATTATGACTTCCCATATTCAAGAGGCTAGTGGTGGAACTGCAAATAGATGCAAAGGCTGAACACTTATTAACTCTGGGAGCAATTAAGCCCAAACTGAGGCTGCAGCTGATGTGATGTTTGAAACCAACTTTGCCAGGTTTACCACCCTGGCTGTAGCGCATGTAATATCCAACTCATGTTTATTTAATGCATGTAAAAGATTTTATTATTTACATTTAAATATTTATGACATTTTTCATAAGGAACTCTTCACCCACACCCACCCCATGAAAGAAAAACTTTATCTTGTGCCCTTTAGGAATGAAGCAATTTCATTTTACTAGACAGATTTTATTCCGTATAAATAATTGACACTGCAGGAAAAGAGGCCCTGATCTATCATTCCATCTTTATGCTATTTCCTAAGTGAAAGGTAATAAAACTAACAAGCTCACCCTTCTGTGCTGACTGCCCCAAAAGCAAAACTCTTAACAAGCTGAAAGGTAAGGAGATGGTTAGAAAATAACAAAGAAAAGATTCAAATATCACCCACGCTTTTTAAAGACCTCGGCGTTCATGATGTACAAGTATTGTTATTACTCTTTCAAAGGTGAGTTTAGGTGACACAGAACTGTAATTTTTCTTGGTATCAGGTTTTAACACTTGGTTCTACTCATGGTTCATTTGTCCATCCTAAAGGTATCTCTGCACACAAGACCTTTCTGTAATCTATAGAACAGAAATAGCATTATCTCCAAAAATAGCAAAGGAGAGGTATTGTGAGAAGTGGTCGGAGCAGACCTCTTGGCTCTTTCCTAGATGGTAACTGCAAAGTGTTGGGTGCCCTGCTCTTCCCAGCCACAAGTCCATGCTTAGAGGCTCCATGTATGAGCATTGTTTTGTTTTGTTTTGTTTGTTTTCCCCACAAAAACCCACTCTTTAGCACTCACTTAGAGCAAACACCAATTTGGGTTTTCTGTGGATTAAGGTTTGCTCTGATTGGACATTACAGAGTGCGCTTTTGTGGGGAAAGCTCTGGAACAAAAAAAAGGCACTAAGGAACAGAGCTTTAAAGCATGGACCTTGCCTGGAAGAACCAGAGGAAAGCCAAGTGTGGATAAGCCCTCAGTCACCATAGCATAAGGATGTTGAGGTGGGGCAGGTTTGGTCCAGCCGAGTCAGTGGAATGTTTGCGTGCCCAGGCAGAGACCCCCCCGACCCACGAGAGACCACCAGGAGGAAAGAATAACTCATGACAACGTGTTATGGGATTAAATCGGCCACAACTTTATTAACTCTTTCAGACGTAGGAAAGACCTTGGCTCAGGCATTGGGCGTGTATCCTTCCCGGCCCCCCAGCCAGGGGACTGAGGCTCATCAGGGTTAATCAGATCCAGGGTGGGGGCACTGCAAGACATTTGTGTACACAGGCAGCCCACCCCCTTTATCTCACAACGCAGGGGAGCTCACTGACAACCTTTCAGTGTATGGCCAGTGACTCCCGTTTTACAAACTGCTTTAATGGGGAACCCTGGAATCTCCGCCGTGGGGGGAGATGAGTCACCACTTCACCCCCCCTCCATTTAGGGAAGATAAAGAATTCCCCACCTCCACCAATGCCACCAATTGGATAATTTAAATTGAGGTTTGGAAGGAATCCCCAACTGCTGCGGCATCAGAGAGGCGGACCAGCACAACCGACTGCTAAGTCCCACGAGGCCCAGGGGTGTTGCGCGCAGTCCCACAAAGGGCGCCCACAGTCAGAGGAGTAAGCATTCAGTGATGGCATGGGGATTGGCAGCCGAACCTATAATTTTACTTATAATTCAGTTTGCACTAATCTTGCTTTTAAAATATTTTGGATGTTGTTCATCATCACCAGGTGGTGAATTTAATATTGAATCTTCTGCAATACAGTTACAGTTGTCAGGCCATATCACTCGAAGTCAGACTCATCCACACTGTTGTGAAATGTTTAATTAAAGTCATGTCAATTGCTGAGATGAATATATTTTCTCAACACATTCAATGATAAGAATAATTTTATTATTTATACCCTGTCCATCTCGCTGCGTTGCCCCAGCCGTTCTGGGCGGCTATGGGGAAATGGACACCTTTTACTACTTATTTGAACTCACAGACACTGGAAAATCATAGCTTTTTGCAATGTGCATTCATGAAATTAAAGGAGAAAGAAACATGTAGCCACCACTGCTGTGTACTTCTCCTCTCGTGGCAGTGAATTTCACACAGCAATGGACACAAGTCTTTGTGCTTTGATTTCCCCCAACATTTCATTGGCTGTTGGTGGCAGGAAATGTGCAAAGTGGAGACGTCACATGACAAGATGAATAAACTTGATGCTACAAGAAAGAAACGGGAAGCAACAAAGAGCAGCAGTGTATCTTGTAACATCCACTTAGGTATTCGCTGCAAGCTGGCAAGTTTGGAATTAGGAGGGGACACAGGCCAATGAGAAGACAGAATAATTTACTGAGAAAACAGAGACTTTTTAAAGAAGTCTTTTTACTTTGCTCTTCCACTGCTTTTGATCTGTATAATCAGCTAATGAGATTTCCACCTCTCCAGGCGATGAGACAAGTTACTGTCTGTGAAGATTTGCGGCAAATACGTTCAGCTACTATTAAGAAATATTTTTTACAGCACAGTGCATTTAAACAAATATTAAATTCATACAATTGTTAATCAGTGTGCCATCTGGAAACATTTGAAAGTTTAGACTCTTAATTGCTTGAATCTCATAAATGCTCAAAATTGTTGCGCACTACAGGCTATAATGCACTTAGGACTTTTTAAACTGTATAAATACATGTAATTAAAACCAGGGCTGTGAACACCTTTTAGCAGCTGCGCAGCCTGTAAGCCTCTTCGCTATTCA